CTCGAAAGGACTCGTCTTCCGATCCCAGTGCGTTGCACATGTACTCCACATGGGCGCAGTATGGCTTGTTGGGAGCACTGAATGGAACTGAGCTTGTGCAGATCACCTTGTAGCACCTGTGAATTTCTGTGAACAAAGCGGCTCAACATTTCCCTGATTGACAGAAGTTCGGGTGTCACCAAACTAAAACCAGTAATGTGACATGAACTAACAAAAGGAACCGGCGAAAGTTCAAAATCCTCCCTCCAGGTCGACTAGTGCTTTCCACATGCGCAATTCATGCTCGCATCTTCTTCTAAGCTTTCCGTTTCCTCACCACGGAAAACGCACATGAGGAAAGCGCGATGGGAACACTGACTCCGCCCATGTGATCAGTGTGCACTGCCTTCGAGTGGAAAGCAGTCAGGCGTGATTTAGCCGGCTACTTGAAGAAGGCTTATGCATCTCTCCGAATACTCAATTCTATTGACCTGTTTCTAGAGGGCACAATTTCCTTCACTAACTATTTGCTCCCCTCCAAATGAAATGAATGGTGGGGCAAGAAATAGTAAAAAGTTAGTCCATAGAAATACGGCAACTCACCAAGAATGCGGTTGGTAAGTAGGTTGAGTTGTAACGGTGGTACTGTTGGAGGGCCAAGTTTTGGCAGCATACTCGCCGGACCACCACCGTTGAGCGACGAGTCGAAATTCGGCGGTGAAAACCTAAAAATGCTTGTCAGTGATCCAACTCATGGCTGGGCGCAGTTATATCAACAGAAAAAAAAACGCGCTGAACGTCCTTGAGGGAGTCGGAACCAACGATGCAGTTCGGCTTGGTGGGGGCACCGAATGATACACAAGTAAGCTTGTATAGTTCACAGTGCCTGGTAAAGGCTGTAAAATTTTTTTGAGCAAGTTTTCTGGGAAAATTTCGTAACTTCGCAGGAGTTTCAGAGGTGCGATCAAAGTAAGATCTGTTAGTTAATATAAATAAACCAGCGAAAAGAATTAGCGAAAGTGCAAAATGCAAATGCCCCTCCCAAGGCGAACAGCGCCGAAACCAGCTGTTACATTTACTGAGAGTCCTCGAGTAAATACTCACTTCATTGCAGCATAAGGATCCGACGATGGTGGAGAGTGTGACTGCAGGAGCGAAACGATGGAACCGATCTCACGATTCCTGGAAAGCGTGGGTTTTCCCTTGGAAATGATCTTCGGAAATATTGTACCCTACACATTGACAACAGCATAGGTTAAACCTAAATTTCCCTCTTTCCCAACCTTCCACAATCAGATATCCTTTAGAACATACCTGTTCGGATCGTAGTAGTCCTGGGGTGGGCTATGCTGATTCGGTCGATGAACTGGCTTCGTATACTGGAATTGACCGCCACTGGTTTGTGGCTGTTGTTCATGACCAGCCCACGAGGTGTCCATTGCCAGATTGTCCTGCGCATCCATGCGTATGATATCTAAAGATCAAAAAATCAATAAATCGATCACCGTATATTCAAGGTGTATTTAGCGAGACTCATGATAAATTTCTGAAGCTTCCCATTCTTGTGAATGAAGTGGCTCAGATAAGTCACAAGTAGTGAAATGGATGTGATGCGACACGCGTTGCGGACCGCGTCGCTTCTCTCTCGCGAGCGTAGCACACTGTGACAATTCCCATAATATCTGGTACATGTTCAAACTGGATAACTGCGGTTTATGGTCGCTTTTGACAACTCACAGCGCAATGTGTCTTCGGAGGGGCCGGTTTGGATTTCTCGTCAGGATTATGATAGTCTGGAGTTTTTAAGAGGGGAGCGGGGGCTCTGGCCAAGTAGACCACTTACTATGCGTGAAAAGTTGGCATGTAAGAGGTCTCTTTGGTGAGGTAACTTCCCATGGGCCCCTTGAGAATTGCAGACTACAGTAACCCTAACGAAAAACTGCGGACTCAAACTCAACACGTAAGACTCCTTTCCCATCCACTAACAAAAGGTCATACAGAGGGCTAGTGCAGACTATGCAGGGAATCTCAAGCCGCCTTTCACCACCCCCTCCCCCCCCCGCCCCCATCTTCCCCCGAGCATTCCGCGACAATTGCTGCTGCTGGCAAATGATAACTACAACTACACTACGAGAATAATAAACTCACCGTACATCTCTTTTTCCAACTCATTCACTATGCAATGGGTCCTGACTGGAAAATTCACCATAGTGACTTAGCGTTTACTAGTGAACAAGCAGGAAGGTGTCGCTGGCAGCGAGAATACGTGTGCCGTCGGGTGTTATCTTGCCGAAAATCCAAACAAAATGTGCTGCATGGGCGAAGGCGGAGGGGGAGTGCCCAGAGGGGAAAGATCAAAGACCTACCAGAAGATGTCTTCGAGATTCGTCTCCAGAGACAGGAACGGATCCGAGACGGGAACGTCCGTAAAACTAAATTCCATTATCTTGGATTAACCAAAGGTGGCGTCCATGAAAGAAATCTAAAAAAGGGTATTATCGAGAAGATAGGAAATTCGATTTACTCGCATTCAAAGCGTAAGCAATGAACGGTTAGGATTCAAACCATAATAGAGATGTGCTCAAAGAAGGAAGTTGCACTAAAATTTATGGCTTTCCTTGAAAGTGAGGGCGAGGAGATCAGAGGCAGACCCGGGATCGCTCCGCCCATCTCACTAGTGTGATTTCTCCCTTTGAACTACTATTATTGAACTGCGATGTGGCCTATACAATGACTTGCGGGGCCAGCCGATGTACAAGTCAGTGTTTTATCCTCCCAGACGAATCTGGTACCAATTCACCGTCCCCGGAGGGTAGAAGGCTTGGTTGGCCTGGGCGGGAGTCGACCCGGGATTCGAACCCAGGACCCAGGACCGGGCGAGTGATGAGCGCGCCACTTGTCACTACATTACTTCATGTGAATGTATGAACATTATCCTGAATAATTAACCAGCTAGTAAATTACGACTCCGTTCAATTATCGCCGAAAACGCCTCTGAGGGGTATGATCGATGTGGAGCAATATTCCCACTCCCAGCCGATGTCTCTAATTTTCTAATTTCCACGTTTGTCAAACCTGTAATATGGCCGAGGCATATACATCGAACATTTCTCATTCCTTCCCCAATCCCTGTGTCGAGGAGTTAATTGGAAGTAAAAGGAGGCAAAACTAGACTTCCAGCTGAAAGGATCGCGCTAAACGAGCGATTTTTCTCATCCCCGTAATGTGCCCCGATTAGGGCGCGTCCCATTGCAGAAGGCAGTGTCATGTCCAGTGCAATTGAAAGCCCTAACGACTGATCGTAGAGTTTTCCCAAGCGTTAAATCAAGGCTAAAGATGAAAAATGCGTCAACTAGTTATCTAGCGTAATCGGTGCAAGTTCACGTGAATGCAAGCAGGTCATGGTTAAGCAGCGTCTGGACAAATAAAATTTACGATAAGAGCCTGAGGGTTACGCCACGCTGATTATGCTCCCAGTGATTTCTGATGCAACAAAGGCGCACATCATCTTTCCCTATCTTTCTCAAATTGTTGCATTCATGCAAATAACCAAGAAAATTACCCAAGATAGAGAACGCCCAGGCCAACTGGCCTTCTACCTTTTACACATCGCATTCAAGAAGCACTACGATTCTGGACGGAAGTCAGTGTCGAAGGCTGTCTGGCGACGAAGGGGGGGGGGCATTTTGCACTTCAACGACTTCCCATCGACGTGTCGACCCATCTAGACAGCCTCTTCTCGAGTTGACAGGTTTTACCATGATGGCTTGACGAGCTTGCTCCAGCTTCACAAGAGTTCACCAGAACTAGTGAAGCAACGAAAGTGCAAAATGCCCCCCCCCGTCGGCAAATTGCGCCGACTATCCTTCATCCTTTCTTTATTTCGGCGTTTGAATCAGAACCAGGCTGGGTGAGGGTCATTCGGCCACCACGAAGCTCATTGCACGCAGTGATTTTCGGAATATTAAGACCCACTGCCATATCCTGACAGTTCCCTCCGGCCTTGAAGGTTCATTCCACGATTGTAGGCAATGGGGTTCAAAAATGATGACACTGACCGAGAATGAAAACGAAAAAGCTGATAAATAACCCAATGGGTACGACCCCTTGCAGGAGTCAGTGTCTAAACAATCAGGAGAAGAAATAGACATAGGTAGAAAAACTACTACAAACAGCAATGCAGACGCCTGCCTCATACAAACCATTGTAATTCCACCAGCCTGCGACTTGTCAGTGAGGTAGGGTGGACAAAATTAGGACAACAATGTACGAGGGGTTGACAAAAGAATGCCCTCCCCTTTTCTTCGACTGTCGAGATAATTACACTGTTCCTGCAAATGGTTCTTGACTTGGGTCTGCCCAGGATTGATGAGCTTGAGCCTTGCGGCCCATCTCCTGCGCAATTTCCATTAGTAAAAGGGCACTTACTAGACACACTCACAGGTTACTTGCTTGAGAAAGGGGTCGAACACTTTGGAATGTGCCTTTGAGTCGGTAGGCAGCGTTTAGACTTCGCACGGCAGCGCTTTGGTCGCGCGATTCGACGATCAATGCACATGGCTGCGTCGACCGCGTTGACCGTCCGACCGAAGCGCTGCCGTCGCGAAGTCTGAACGCTGCCGCATTACGGAGGCTTCGACGCTTTAGAGTCCCACAATCGGAAATCCTGTTAGATGTAACAGCTCGAGCGGCATAATGATTTGTGATCGACTCAAACAGCATCGAAGAAGGAAAGATTCGCAGTAGTTTGATTATCTTCGTGGAGTGCGCGGTGGGCGCGGCAGTGTTTGTACCGGGAGTCCAGACAGTTCCCCTTGGCTTTTCTTCTGGCCCTTGAACTCGCAGGTATAAGTTGATTGAAGAGTTTTAGGACCGCCCTAGCAAGGAATGGTTCAACTTTTCGCGCAGACGGGACAATCCTACTCTGTGCACCACCACCTGTAGGCACCGGACAGTAGAGGTATTGTATCGGCGCTGTTCAGCTCAAAGGCAGCGATAAGTCCCTAAGACGAGTAGGACTGATACGCCCGGTAAGATCTGGGTCGGTCCTGCGTAGCGCCTTTTCCAAGGAAGGTGCCATCATAGCGCCTATCAAGCTGCAACATACCGACCCGGACGCCCACCGCGCCCGCCCGCCCACAAATGGACGACCGTACCTGATGCTCGTATTGCTTCATTTGCGAAGTAAAATATGAAGCGAAGGGATTGATATGAAGCAGCTGCACTGCTGCATGGATATATGAGTACATATACATGCAAGCCTATCTACTGTAATGATTTTCGGCAAGATGCCTACGGGAAACTCGTCCGAAATTCCTTTTGAGTCATTAAGAACGAAGGCTTTTTTCTGCAGGTTTTCGACCGTTTCACTTCGTTTCTTCGCCATTTTCCCATCATATAGCTGCTAGCATTTTAAGCCGAGTACCAAATAGCTGCTAGCATTTTAAGCCGAGTACCAACTTGTAAACTGCCTCAAGGGGAGGGGGGGGGGGAAGAAAGCTGGCACCTTGCACTTTCGCTGCTTCTTCCGCTGGTTCATGTCTATCGACCCGTTGGACCTGCGAACTCTTGTGAAGGTAACGGTGCAAATGAGCAAATTTGAGTGCAGAAATTGGCACGTCTCCACCAGGTGACCTGTAGAAGCTTGGCTGAGCACCATTTGGTCCCCCCCCCCACCTAC